AATACATTATATTAATATTATCGATAGGTATACCACGTTTTTGTTTTGTCTAGTAGTGAACTCTCACCTAAACGCACAATATAATTAAAATGCATAACTATTCATAATATCATCATAAATACAAAAAACTTATTCTGTAGAGACTTACAATAATTATACAACACTGGTAAAAGGTTAACATTTTTAACATTTTCTATTTTATGTATAATTGTATGTTTAAATTTAATAAATTTTTTATCAATCTATTAATTCATATAATTATTATATATTTTCTATAGATTTTGTATTAAATGTCTGGATGACTAACGTTTTTGTGCCATTCATTTATTATTTATACAGATAATATAGCATTTATTTTTGGGAGTTAATCGAAACGCAAGTTTTCAATTATTTTTGTGATATTTCTCATAAAGTCTATAACATTACAAGTACTACCTACTATTACAGACTAATCACTGATTTGAAAATTAGATAATCTTAATAAAATCTTAGTTTTTAGTAGTTTTTGTATTTTATCAAATTTACAATAGCGCACAATAGTCATTGCAATAAAATGACATAATATTATTTATTTAAGTATTTATTAATTTGAACTAAGATTTTAAAAATAATATGTCTTTGTCAGATATTCATAAATATTTTGTGATATCACTGATTATGATATTATATAAGGACTTCTTTAATTTTGTCGATTGGATGACTGTCTTTATTAAAATCGCTGTTAAAATCTTAATATATATCTCATGAAATATTGTAAGTTAAGGAATATAGTATTTGTTTATTTACATTAACTTTCAAAGCAAATATTAACCGGAAATGAATTTCCTTTTAAACAATAAATTACAGAAAATGCATAATTAATATATCATTGTTATTGCTAACTACACTAAATTATGTAACACCAAAATAGACATTTCTATTGCACAATGTTTTCATAATTATATAGAGTAATCAAGTATTTATAATTAAGGTATTATATAATGTATGCCGTAAACACTGAAAGCCATATAATTATAGCTAAATGATTTACAATAAAACTACAAGGTTAATTTAGGTGGTAGATAATTAAACAGTTATTTTAAAACTTTAAAATTACTTTAATATTTATCAGTTAAATCAATATTATTTTCATTGCATATGATAGATTGTTGCGAAAAATATTAATAAAACAAATATTAANTAATTTTATTGTAATGGGATAGTACTATACTATAAATATAAATTCCAAGAAATATTAGGTAATCAATAAATGAGTGCTTTCACGAGAAAAAAAATAAATCTAAAATTAATTTATATTTCCTAAGAAAGTTTCATTAAGAATGCTAAATAAATTGATCCATAAAATAGAGATCATTATAAATAATTATATTAAAATCAATTATTACCACAGGCATTGTAAATAAACTTAAATTATTTTGAGTGTTCATATTTCAATTTTAGAATTTTAGATAATAGATTCTTGATTTATATAATCTACTTATATTTACACTTTATATTGTATAAAACAACAATACCATGACCAAGAACAAAGTACATTATTAAATGATTATAAGAATATTCTGAAAGTTCCATACAATTTAATTAAAGTGAATACACAAGCAATAATTATTTTAAAATCTACTTGTCATTTAACTGGTACAGTAATAGTAAATGTAGCAATAATATTCATTTAATCATTTTTAATATCATGATATTTTGATATACTTGAAGTAATATAATGGTAATAGTGTGTTTTGGTTGAATTACGGACAGTAATGACTGTTTGTGTAAATATACTCTGAAAGAGATTATTGACAATGAAATGATAGTTTATATGTTTAAATGTCAACGAATTGTATAGTAAACACTCAATATAATGCACAAAAAGTACCTGTACTAACAAGTTACTTTAATTTGCTAAGATTTTATGAAAGTTAAGGAATATTCGGTTAGATATTTGCAATAAATATCAATAATATATTTATAGAATTCTATAGACATTAATTGATTATAAAGTATTGAGATGATTATACCAGGAAAAAAATTATTTATAAACTAAAAGTGTATTAATATACTGTGTAGTTACTACACTGTAGTAATTAAAATTAAATTATGCTACACAAAAATAGTCATTTAAAATATTGTATACTACTATTACAGGCTGTGTAAAATATAAACAAACATAATATATATATTTATAAAATAATTACTATAACATACATTGTGTTGATGACAGAAATTGATTGCGTTTATAGTTTGCCAGATGATTTTCTTAGTGAGATTGTCGGGCACACCTTTGGGGTACTTTTCCAGTATGTCGAGCACAGTTAGCTCGCAGTACTCGAACACTAAATGCAATTTTCGCTTCCGACGAAACACTTCAATCAAATTTATGAGATTTGGATGCTTTAAGAGCTAACAAAACAAATACAATATTCATTATTAATTCAAAATTGTAACACACATTTTCTATTGTTAACCACAAATGAGATTACTGTAAATGAAAGGAACTAGGATAAAATATATATATATATGGCTATAAATTTAATAATAAGATTTTAAGAAAAATCACATAATTTTTAAAAATAAACTCATACTGTATGTTCACACATAATATAAGACTTTAAAGTAACATTTAAAGTATACAATTATGATAATTCATACCTTAAGCATCCGTATCTCACGTAAGGCTATTTTCTTGATGAGAGGGTCGTCCTCTGTCTCGACGTACTTCTTGATGGCGACCAACTGTCCGGAGTCCCGGCTCCGGCACTTGAATACAATACCATACGAGCCCTCACCTATTTTCGAGATCTTCTCATACTTTTCCATTACTGGTGTGTAATGATTGCGTTGAGATTTCCTATTCAAATATGATTAGTAAATATTGTACTTAAAATTAATATTTAAAAATTATAGCTCTAGATAAATGAAATTTAAAAACTTATTATAATTATACAATTACAATGTTGGTAATATCTATTAGATTTTTTAGTAAGAACATACGATTAATGTACTAGGTAATTCATTTAGTTAGACATTAAGTTAATTTAGATTATAATTAAATAGTTTTAAAATAAAATAAAGGCACAAATACTATAAAATAATTTGTGTTTCAACGCATAAACATAAATGCATTCATTTAGTGATCAATAAATATTATTTTAAATTCTAAACACTATTTTATTATTAAATAAAAATAAAAATTATTTTTAATGATTGATAAAATTCTCACATTATTTTATATGTTATTTTCAAATGAATATAATTATTAACTCAATGATAACGATAACATTTAATATCATAAAATAATCAGACATTTAAATTGACACATATTTTACAAAGATTATTTTAGACGCAACTTTTTTAACACACATTTAATGGGTCCTAACCTTGATATGCTAAATAATATTATGGTATATAAAGCATATTAATAGAAAATTTGTACTTAAATGATACAAAATACGAGTAATATTAGGACACAATTGATACCACCGTTACTATTTGTGTTAATGACTATATTTTGTAATTAATAATGATTTTAATAACACAATTGGCTTTAAATGTCAAGTCATAATAATTTAAATACTGGGACAGAATATTCCGGTATTCTATACACAACTTTGGAGTAATTTAAATAAATTCTGAATTAGAGACTCAATTTACACTTATTACTGTATGACTGCTATTACATCACAGAATTGTCTCATACCTACAGAATTCCCATTTCATATATCATTAGT